GTACTGACCTGGAAGAGCGTTCACATGAGTCGACATCAATGATCACCATCGCTTTTTCAATGATGAACTACTCGCATTGACAGGGGAATATCTGATCTGTCTTCTTATATGGCAGACGCAAATGCACGTATTCGATTCATATCTATTTCCACATATGAATTAGGCCTGAAACCGATCTGAGAATATTAGAATCCATGCACTTTTTTCCTGCTCAAATGTTCGTGGGTCGTATTTAATTTGTTTAAGTCTGATGTTTAAGGACTTCAGATCTCCTGCAGTGAGTCTCGTTCCAGTTATCATGCTGAATCCACAGGTTTATTAGTTTTATTAGTAATTTATTAGGTTTATTAGTATTAGCTGTTACATGAGATTACATGCACTGATTCTTTAGGGTGTTTCCAACAGATGGCAGTTTAAAAATAGTCACAGTAGAGAAAAAGACCATCAAATTGTTGGATGTCGTGAATTAAATGTTTTGCACACAATGTCTAATCAAACAATTAGGAATGTTTGATGTTTGAGTCTGAGGAGCAGGAGCTACTTCAGACAGGGTATCTGCAGGATTTTTAAGCTCAAATTTAAGACTTTTTAAGATCTGCATAAATAAAATTAATAAACATGAGTGGGGTAGGGCAATATCTATGGTAAGTTGGTAACATATTCAATTTACAGTTTAGATACAGGTTTTCACAAAAACAAGTTTTATAAAATGATAAACTTCACAATTCAGCCTTTAAACCATTATTAAGAAAATGGATGAGTTAAAAGTATCAATTATTATATTAATTCAAACAATTAATATCAATCATTATATTAATTAAATAACATATACATGTATTTTTAATTAATACATCTTAATTCATTAGATTTTTATAATGCATTATCTTCTTGTCGATCCACAAGCCGACATTTACAACTGCGTGTTTGCAGCGTAAAAATATGAGTTGATTTTCACAGTGGTCTGAACAAAAACAGCAGACGGGTTTACTGAAAATGCTCATTTATTTTCTGCCAGCAGGTGGCGCTTTTGGAATGGCAGAAATTCAGCAGTTTCCTTGGTAACCACAGTACACAAAGCAGGGCAGCACCTGACTTTGAAATGTGCAGCGTTAATATTTATTCAATGAAATCATAGCCTTTTGCAGTTCAATCGTCACATTAAGCCATATTGCAATTCTTCTTTCCGTCCCCAAATTTAAGACCTCTTGAAATCCTATTTAAGACTTTCTTGTACCATTTAAGACTTTTTATGGCCTTAAATTTGATACAACTAAATTTAAGTCTTTTTAAGGACCTGCAGAAACCCTGTTCAGAGTTATAAATATGATAATCTAGTGGTTGAGGTTCCAGTGAGTGTGAAAACACCTCAAGATGTGAAATGACAGTGAAAAGGGCCTTTCAATGTGATCGACCGACAACAACACATAACATACAAAACCAACAACAAAAAACAGGGTGGATTTCCATTCAGGGAAAGGGAGTAAACAGGAAATGGTACCTGCAGTGTTGAGGTGTGGCCCTTCTCGGCACACACGTGTAATGGGGATCGGCCCCAACAGTCCATGGTGTTGATTTCAGCTCCCAGTAAAAGCAGGTCTTGTGCAATCAGGTGTTGATCTGCGGCAACACTGACTTGGAAGGCGCTCTGAGTGGAGGAAGCATGACATCAAATGAGTAATCGCATTTGTCTGTTTATGTTAATAACAGGGAGTGTGCACTGGTATGTTCATGTCAGTATTCGAAACTCAGCAAGGTTTAAAGGTTTGCTTTCACTGATAATCCCACTGGTCAAATGGGAAAGTTTTTTTTGGCTGTACCTGGTTGTTGTGTTCTTTCATGTCCAGCATGCCAATGGCGGCCATTTTCCTGCCGAGGACATACGCCAGAGCTCTTCTGCCTTGGGCCACCGCGATGTGCAAGAACCTGTAAATCAGTCAACAATCACCTAATGATCAATGCCATGTTCCTCTCAAGACTCTCAAGTGAACCAATAGAATAGCCTAACTGAGTTTGGCCATTTGTGAATCCTTACAGTTATGATTTGAAGAGTATAATGTATGAAAATGTATGAAAGTGTACTCACGTGTCTCCATCCCCATCTCTAGTGGTGAGCTCCACATAGCTCAAAGCAGCCAGTTTCTCCTCCTCGTACTTTATCTGCCATTCGAAAAAGGATACTGGGGGTGCAGCAGTCATATTGAAGCTGGGCGCACGTGGTGGGATGGAGTAAGTATACATGTTCTCCATGGATGGCAACAGATGGCAGACAGTGTAAATGGGGCTTTCAGCATCAGTGTACAAATCTTGAGGTCGACTACACACCGGCACTGGGCATCCTCTCACTGTCACAGATTCAATGGAGAGCCGCTCTTTGGACAGGACGTCACCAATATCCTCCAACATCTCAGTGTCACAAAACATGTTCTCACCTTGGTCACATGGAGACTAGGAGAGACATAGAACAAGTGGTTTAAAACAAGGTATTGTGTATTCTGAACAGTTCTTGAAAAGGGTTAAGAAGCTCTCTGCGGATTTGAGCAGGAAACTCTATATCAAACCTCAGCACAATAGCAACAAACATAATGTGAAGATTCTCAGGATTGACTGTAGCTTTAGAAGGGTTCAGAACCACACAAGACTGTAAGTTTGGTCAACAGATTGTCTCTTTTGATTTGAGAATTTTTCTGAGTCTAGAATCACCTTTGCTCTACACCAGTGTTTCTCAACTCATCTAAAATATTCTGAGAGGTGGGCCTCAAGAACTGGCATTGAGAAACGCTGCTCTAATGCTATGATTCTTATTAAACTGTATAGCATAGAAAAACAAAATCCACACAAGTCTTTTTCAAACAGAATTACAGAAAGATCTCATTGTCCTTGACAGGCCTCAGAAACCAGTGAAGCTCCAGCGAGTGGGAGACACTGTATATAAAAATCATCAGACAAATGAAGAGCAAAACGTACTAGGACGTTTGCGTCTGTGGCTCGCAGTCGTTTCACAGGAGAGAAAGACACATTCTCCACTTCCCTCTTTGTTCTCTGCAGCACATGCGTTATGGCTGTAATGAAACAGAACATTATTTTCCAGTAACAGCTTCCTGTTACTATTTACAAGTCATAACTGCATACATGTAGTTACCTGGACATTCTGTTTCAATTTGATATTGCTGAGCCTGTGGAGAATTATATAATAGAGTAATATAATAAGAAATACAGAATTGTGGATTTATTAAAGTCTGATGGAGCAAGTCATGTGTGACATGGCCCATTATGAAATACAACATAATGTCATATAATATGTACCTGAATCTCTTGATGGCGTTTCTGCATGATCAGCTCTTTGACAGTGTTCTTGACGCGCACACCTTGATACCGACTCAGTTTCCCCGCGCTGTGCTCTTCCACTTAGAAGGGAAAGACTTTAATTAAACGTTAGTCACTTTAATCAGTTTAATTACTGCCCTCTGAAATCTACTGAAAACATTATCACATGATTACACATGTCGTGTGTCTTTTGATCCCTCTATCCAACACCATAGATTTTATTCACCAACATTATTTTCTCTATACGGTCCGTGTAAATACACCAATTCAGTTTGGTTAATAAATAATTAAAATGGTCTCATAATTATTCTTTTTTTCCCCCTACCGTTGACGCTGTTTTGGGGGCTACCCGCATTGCTCCAGCTCTGATCCGAATTAGAGCTCGGAGATCCGACTGACAGACTCGGTTCTGTGGGAGATGAACATCCGTAGAACGACAACAGGTGGACCGGACTCGTCATAACATCGCTGTCCCAGTCCAGAAGACCCGAGAATCCCTCAGAAACTCGATCAATGATCATTTTCTCTTGCTGTGACTCGCGTTTGCTCTGAATGACGCGACGCAACGTTTACTCAAGAACTTATTTGCGAGTGACGTTATTCGTGATGTCAGGGCACTCCTTCAGCCAAGAGAGATTAGCATAATTACATACGTACAGACCTCAATAAGGTATTGAAGATAAAATGGATAATTGAGTACATCAAAAGATACTGTATGGAATATATTCCCCAATTGTATGTTTAATTCTCTGGGTGGCATTAATTTTCTTTTAAAACGTAATTTTTCATGTTTGGTTAATAAATAATTAAAATGGTCTCATAATTATTCTTTTTTTCCCCCTACCGTTGACGCTGTTTTGGGGGCTACCCGCATTGCTCCAGCTCTGATCCGAATTAGAGCTCGGAGATCCGACTGACAGACTCGGTTCTGTGGGAGATGAACATCCGTAGAACGACAACAGGTGGACCGGACTCGTCATAACATCGCTGTCCCAGTCCAGAAGACCCGAGAATCCCTCAGAAACTCGATCAATGATCATTTTCTCTTGCTGTGACTCGCGTTTGCTCTGAATGACGCGACGCAACGTTTACTCAAGAACTTATTTGCGAGTGACGTTATTCGTGATGTCAGGGCACTCCTTCAGCCAAGAGAGATTAGCAAAATTACATACGTACAGACCTCAATAAGGTATTGAAGATAAAATGGATAATTGAGTACATCAAAAATAAAGATACTGTATGGAATATATTCCCCAATTGTATGTTTAATTCTCTGGGTGGCATTACTTTTCTTTTAAAACGTAATTTTTCATGTTGACATTTCATCTGTGAAATGGTATGCGAGAGTAATCTCATTAGAACAGTTTTGAGGTAAATTGATTCAAAGGTGAATTTTCTGATTTAAAAAAAAAAAGCTGTTACATTACGTTGAATATCAAAAGGTTATATGTAGCCTAATTTTTTACTGCAGACTAAGGGTAGAATAATTTACTTAGATCTGAGGAAAGAAATATATATGTATATATATATATATATTGTGTGTGAGGGGGCCCCGCACAGAACGGACCGGATTCATTCAAATTAAACTGCCAAGATGCCATTTAGTTTATGGCATTTTTTGCCCGAAAATGAAATTATTAGGATTAATTTGGCCTTTAGATAAAAAATATGTAAATTTGGTACAGTTTATCAGTATATGGACATTGTTCTTAAGGGGGGCTTCTTCCCCCATCTTACCCTTCTGTTAGTCAGTTGCTTCTTGAACATGGTATGCATTTGTCATACTCAGAACTCCTTAAAAAATCCAACCAAACCAAAAGACTATGCTGTTATTTTTGGTTATGATACCTTGTAGTCTTGGATAATGAGCTCCATCTAGTGGTACTAGTGTTAGTAAGAGCAGTGGTTCTTAATCCTGGTCCTGGGGACCCCCTGCTCTGCACATTTTGCATGTCTTACATTTTGGATTTTTGGTGGGGAGGGGGAATCTGTTAAAGAATCTGATTCATCTTTTTTTTGTTTTGTTTTTTACAGTGTGAATACTGTAAAACTGATTAGCCAAATTGTGAACATTTCATAAAATATATATAATTTTTTGGTTTTCAATGGTTCAAATATCATCAAAACAACATTAAGAGAGTTTTCTTATGAACATGGTTTCTTATGAACATGGTTTGCCTTTGTCATACTCAAAACTCCTAAAAAATACAACCAAACCAAGTCGGTTGGGGATTAAGAATCACTGAGTTAGAGATCCAGTAGCTGCAAGACATGAAGGTATAAATATTGTTATAGTCCACACATTAATACGAAGTTAGCATTTCATACTTTTTAAAATTACTTCTAAAGTGAACAATTAAAATGTAATCAAAACAAATTACATTTTGGTGCAGAACACAAATAAATACATGTCTTTCAACTGTGTGCTAAAGTACTGATGGAAATTACCACAATGGTGAAAGTAAAACTTTATTTACAAAAATGATTTTTAAAATATATAACAGAGAAAAAAAACAATAAAAATGTTAAATAAATTAACACTTATGCCACACTGACCACTTGTTGCAGCACATACTGTAAATATCCAGATGCACACATACAAATATTTACAATAAAGGCTATTCAGCTTTCAAATGGTTGAAACTGCAGCAGACTATCAAATCAATTCACATTTATTTCACATACCTACATACTTCTCTACAGTCTTTACCATGAGGAGAGAGATCAGATGGATCTTGAGGTGTTCCTGTTCTGTCACCCGTTCCTTTATCCTCTTCCTCCTCCTCGTCCTGTCGCTGCACAGATGAGAGATACTGCTCTAACAGACTGCCATCTTGACTGTCCCCCGTGGCTGCTGTCAGAGGCCCAAGAGAGCGCACTGTTTCTGGAGATCCAGTCGTGGCCGTGCTGCTCAGGCTGTTGTCCAGTGCTGCCTGTCGCTCTCCAGGGGAATGAAAACCAGACTCAGGGATGGAGATCTCAGTGTGGATAGGAGTTGCTGCAGGAATGCTGGGATCTAATGCAGTACTCTTTGCCACATTGAGCTGCTCGTTAACAGACGACTGCCACTCCAGCACGACCTGAAGCTGTTTGACAAAGAGAGCACAGACAAAAGTGAAAATAGTCAATTTTGATGATTCACAGGCATTTTCGTGACTCATCATTCATTTCCCAGCTGAAGATGGCTTATAATAGTGGCCTTACTGTGATAACATTAGTAGTATTAGTCATGACCATATCTCATGGTCATCTTCATACTGACCTGCTTCCACAGGAACTTCACAGCTTCTTCTTGCACACGTCTCTGTAGTCGGTCTTCTTCTTGTTGCTTGCGCACCCTGCAAAACATACTAGTTACAGCAAAATACTTCACACTGTTTAAGCTTACGTTATTGTTGAAGTTGTTTTAGTGTGTTGAACTAATCAGAAAACAGTGATTCACAAATGTACCAGAATGATTCAGGACCATTAAGATAAAACTGCATCACTTTCCTTCCTTTACACCTTATAACCTGATGGGCAAACATATGATGTGTTGAACCGTGAAGTGTTTCACCTTTCCAGTTCTACGGTCAAGTGGACAATGTGATCCTGCATCCTACGCAAGCGGATCTCAGCACGCACTTCTTTGGCTTGTGGGTGGCAGTACCGCGTCCAGTGTCCCCTCCACCAAGACTGAATCCTTACAGCTGCATCATGTGGTTCACATTGTTTTACTTTACACTGCAGCACAGCAGCTTTCTGCATCCCAGTCCACTTTGAATCCTCCACAGTACCGTTCTGTAACCCAGCATCACCATTAAATGCATGCTGCTGCCCGTTAATGTCGGAGCAGGCAGTTCTGTCAATGTGGTCAACATGATCTGATCCCTGTGTCAGAGTGAGGACAGCTCTATCTACTGACTCCTCCTTGGATGGGTGGTACTGAGTGGATGTGGGAGGAGCCAGAGAATCATCAAACTCCTCTTCACCGCTATCAGGAGCTGAAGCAGGATGAACAGCAGTGTTAAAGGGCAGAAAAGCAGACTCGGAGGACAGCAGACTACCCTGAAGCTTCTCCTCATCAGTATGCACATCCTCCAGAGTCATCATGTCTTCAGCAGCAGGTGGAAGCCGGGCAGCAGCAACTACGGGTGAAGACACAGAGTCCATCCACGTGTTTACCTGAACTCCTGGATTCACATCTATAATCATAATAGACAATTAATCACTACAGGAGAAAATGACACGAAAAACACAGAAGGGCAGATTCATTAAAGATGAATTAGTGCCTGATTCACTAAAATAATTATGTACATTCAACAACAACAAATTTTATTTCAGTCCTCACAAACAATTTTTTTTATTAAATTAATAAATATACATAATGACAAAAAAAGACGAAAAAAATGTAGGCTGAACCCTTTGCTTATTATGCCTACCCTTTTTACATATTTATCTAATGAGCATGACTTTTCTCACTGGATTTATTTTATGCAAAATAAACAGAAACGGTTATATAATTTTCCAAAATGTGCATACTACATAGCTACGAAGGTACACATTTCAGACATTAATACAATAGTTTGAATATTACATACACAAATTATTCATATTGAGTTATAATTATCACCTCACTTTTAAACAATTTCTTGAATTTACAAAGTATACCATACATTTTTAATTCCTTGTCACGATTATTTCATCGATTTACCCCTTTCACAGATATGCATCTATTTTTTTTATAATTTTTTAAAACATGTACATTCCATTTAGTTTATACTTACCTTCTTTCATTTCAAACAGCCTCTGATTTACAATTTGGAAGCAAATTATTGTATACATTATACATTATCTGTGCAGTGTAAAAATCAACTAAATCAACAACTTTTAAAGCATTTAATTTAATAAATAATATATTTGTTGGTTCGCAACAGTCAACCCGTGTTACAATCCTTATTGCTGTCTTCTGTAATGTATATTGGATTTATGTAGGTTTTGTATGACCCCATACCTCCACACAGTAAGTAACGTATGGAACATATGGAGTGAACAGTACAATATATATAATGAGGTTTGATTAAAAAAAAAATTGTGTTTAATACTGCAATAGATTCAGACACTTTTGTTTTTACATTATTTATATGTGGTATCCAGCATAATTTATGATCAACTATAACACCCAGAAATCTATTTTCATACACTCTTTTAAAACTAATTGTTCAATTTCCACTGTATTCAGAAGCTGTTCCAAATTTGTCCCTAAACAATATAAATTTGTGTCATCAGCAAACAGAACAATTTGTAATACTTTAGACACTTTAAAAATATCATTTATATACAGTACAAACAATTTGTAGCCTAGCACCAAACCTTGTGGAAATACCACAAGTGACTTTCATTAAATCCGATTTAACATTACATATTTGTACAAACTGATAGCTGTCATCAAGGTAATTTCTTAACCAAGAGAAGGCTTTTGCTCTTACATCATATCTCTCCAGTATCATCATAAATAAACTGTGATCAATAGTGTCAAAAGCTTTTTTTTAATCTAGGATCATCCCCACAGTATATTCATTATCATCCACTGCAGTGGAAATATCTTCTTCCATTGTGATTGACCTATTTGCTCC